CCTCGTCCCCTTCGGCTCTTTCCCCGCATGGCAGGGACAGCACGACCGTTTAATGGCCTTGTGAGGCCAGTGTGCCAGCCTCACTCCTTTACTCCCTTCTTTCTCGGAGCGGGCTCTGTCCCTTCTGCAGGAGGGCTTTGGCACGTGCTCTTCCCAGTGCCTGGAAGGTCTCCCTCATTTTTGTCTTATTAACTCCTCATCCTTCAGCTCACCAGAGTTTAAGAATGACCTCTTCAGGGACACCTTTCTGTGTCTGCCTCGCCACTTGCTTGATGCCCGCCCGCCACCATGCTGACCGCACTCTTCAACTCCCATCACAGGGGAGGGGACACAAACTTGGCAGAACACCCCATGGCCCCAGGAGCCCAGCACCTGGCTTTAAACCCAGCTCTGTAACTTTCTAGTGTGTGACTGATGGGAGCAAGCCACTTCACCTCTCAGGCCCTCCTTTTCCTCATCTGTAAAATGGAGGTAGTACTAGCACCTCCCTCCAGAGATGATTACGAGGGTGAGAGAATTAGTAAGTGACCAAGTGCCTGGAGCAGTGCCTGCCCCTAGTAGACTCTATGGAAGTGTCTGCTGCGGTTATTGCTGTTATTATTACCATTTTTCCTAAGGGCATTATTTCTGGAGTGAACTGATTGCTTGATTAATGAGATCAGACCTGGAGCCTCATGAGAGTGTCCACTTTTGCTCACTGTTATGGATTCGGCACAGGGCCTGGCCCTCTGCTGACCCCCAGCACATGCTTGTCCAGGGAATGAATATGTGCGGACCCATGGCGGCCTGGGGCATCATGAAGTCGGCTGCCCACATTCTGAGAATTCTGCATGGTGGAGGGCGGCATGGTGGGCGCATAGGGCCTCCATCTATAGAAACCACCTCTCCACACCATCCACCCCACGCAGCATAGTCTAAACCGGGTAGGGAGAGGAAGGATGGAAGCAGAGTGTTATTTTTGTAACCAAGTAGAAAAAAGCGATGAATTTTTAATGTCCCGTTTGAACTCCAGCTCCTACTCACCAGTCTCTCCGCATGGAGAAGTGGTCGTCATGGTCGACCTGTTCCTAGGGGTGGCCTTGTGAGTGCAGGCTCTCTCCTCACCAGAGCTGAGGGCTTTGTGAACCTCTGATGTCAATAGATGCCCCTCGTCTTCCAGGAGGACAAAACAGGGCAAAGCAAGACATGGGGTTAGGATAGGAGCACATCAGTGGAGTTCACCAAGGCTGTGTCAGTTGTGTCTGAGCGGGAGTTCTGTTCTGTATCATCCAGGCCAGGCGAGTGAGCACCTTGGGGCTTTGCCTGCGTCAGTCAGGAGGACAGAGCACACGGAAGAGTTACCATTGATTTCAGAGCAGACCTTCCTTTGACACTTGTTTGACACATCACTGAGTGATTGACATGGCATCCTTGTTAATCCCTATCTTAACCTCTCGGTTATGGTCCTGTTTATCAGTGAGGAAACTGAGGCTTATCGCTTGCCTGAGGCCTCAGTGGCAGAGACAAGATGTGAATCCACACCTGTGTGACGCCCAAGCCAGAGCTCTTGTTTGCTACCCAGAGAAGATGAGCACAGGTGGGGTGTATGTATGGAGGGCGGGTGGTGCAGCAGCCCCTCTGAGAACAGGCGGCCAGAACCCAAGCCGCAAGGTTTGTTCACAGCCTCCACAGGGTGGGGTGGGGCCATCCGCAGAGGGTCTCCTGCCATCCCATTTTCCCTACATACCAGTGGGTGGTCTGAGGGCCTTTGCAGAGAAGAGACTGGATCTCAGCGTGTGCTTGTGCGTGTGTGTACATGCACACACATGCGTGTGATTCATCTGGCTCTTAATTTATGCCAAGGAGCCTGTCAGATGCTTTAAATGTATTTTTCCTGTTTAATTCTTAGAGCACACTGCAGGAGGTAGATTCTGATAAATCCATCTTACAGGGAAGGAAACAGACTTAAGTAGGTAAAGTCACTTGGTTGGAAACATGGAATGAGTAAGCCAAGGGGCTGGCATTCAAACCCAAACCCAGGTCTGTGCCCCTGCAGAGCCTGCAGGAGCAACCTACACAGGCTGAGGCTGTGAGGGGTGCTGTTTGCACGCGTGCCCGGCCCTCCCTGCAGCCCAGGTGCCTAGGTCTGGGCCTGGCAACACCAGAGCACGGGGCCTTGGCCTCGGGGAACAGCCCTCTTGTGTCCTCAGGCTGTGGGATGTGTCTTGGCTACTTTGCTGCCCAGCAGCGCCTGCTCTCAGGCACATGTGAGAGTAGAGGCCTACCATCCGTGGCCACTTCCTTCCCAGCCCATTTGCTGCTGCCCTCTGCTCCGCAGGGCTGCTGGGCTCCACACCTGCTTGCTGCCCGCCATCAAGGCTGGCAGTGCTCTGGGGCTGTAAAGGCGCAGGCACCGTACTTCCCACCCCCTGGAGCTCACACATGGTAGGAGAGAGAGCTCATGTGCGTGGAACATCCAATGAGACTAAAAGTGACTGGGGGATGCTACAGGAGAGATGCCAAGGGCTGCGTGGTGCTGAGGGCGGGCGGGGACAGAGCAGGCACGCTGTGGAAGGGGTGGGCAGAACTCCTGAGACCAGGGCAGGGAGGGAGGAGACCCTGGGAGGCACAGGGCCATCCAGAGAGCTGCCATTTCCTGAGCACTGCCATGCACGCTACAGGCATGGCCACCTTGAGTCCTCACACTGCCCATGGCCTAGGTGGGATCTTCATCCCCACGTTGCAGAGGAGGAAATGGAAGTTAGGAAGGTTGGGTGGCATGTCCGCATGAGTGGTGTAAGCAGGGTTCCCGCCCTGGGCTCTCTGAATTCAGCATTGTATGGGGGAGGCTGGGAAAGTGAGTTAGTGTGCTCCGTAATGAGAACCTACTATGGGGCCCCTCCCCTCAAGGAGCTCATAGCCATGGGAGGGTGGGAGACAAGAACTGTTAGAGACCAGAGAGCAAGGGCGTGATGCGATCTGCAGGGAGGAGGCCATCCAAGGCAGACCTGGGTCAGGGAGGCCATGGTGCGGGTACCGTCCATGCACAGCATTTGGCCTGACTTTTGAGGGGTGCCCAGGGCTGGCTACATGGCAGAGCAGAGGTATCTTTAGTGGAGAAACAGCGTCGTGCCACCAGGAGGGGGTCTCTGTCTCCCAGGTAGAGGAATTCTCCATGGCGAGAGGTGGGGCAGGGGTGGTCTAGCTGTCCGCGCTTGCCCCCGTTCGGATTTGGAAGGAAGCCCCATGCTGGGTCCACACTGTGGTACGGCATATTAATTAGGCAGCTGCTTTGTCTGCGAGGGGCTTTATGTCGGGTCTCCCTGAATGAGCAGGGCTGGCGACAGTTGTCAAAACACATGGTGCTTGGCCAGAGCCTCCGTGGAAGCCCCTTGTGCTCCGCATGGCCTCCGCCTGCACCCGGGGCATGGAATGTGCTCTTGTGTGTCCCTGGCTGTCTGCCCACTTCTACACTGGCCCCTGCAGATGGAGAGGGTGGGGTACAGGGGTTCCTATAAGAAGCAGACACTTGGGGTTTTTCCCAGGCCTTGTTGCGGGAGGGTGCGTAGGCTGGTTTTCCTGAAGGCGCCTGGGCGTGTTGACGTTAACTGATCTGAGATCTTCTGTGGCCCTAATGTCTATGAGCATGCCCCAGCTTGCAGGGGGCTGAGTAGCTGGGCACCACCAGGAGGCTGCATGCCCCGTGCTTGGGTGTACCTATGCCCTGTCGGCATCGTTGGTCTGTTAGGGCCAGGGACTTAGACTTCTTGTTTAGTACCCTCCTTCCCTTCCAGTTGGTCCTCCGAAACATTTTCCTTAGATGCGGCTGCCTAATCCTGGTAAGGGGCGCCTGCCTCCCACTTGCCTTCCAGCCTCCTCTAAGCTGCACTGAGTCTTAAAAATAGGAACCGGGTGCGGTGGTTCATGCCTGTAATCCCAGCACTTTGGGAGACTGAGGCGGGTGGATCACTTGAGGCTAGGAGTTCAAGACCAGCCTGGCCAACATGGTAAAACCCCATCTCTACTAAAAACACAAAAATTAACTGGGCGTGTTGGCATACGCTTGTATTCCCAGCTACTCAGGAGGCTGAGGCATGAGAATCGCTCGAACCCAGGAGGTGGAGGTTGCGGTGAGCCAAGATTGCACCACTGCACTCCAGCCTGGGTGACAGAGTGAGACTCCATCTCAACAACAACAACAAAAGAATAGGAAGGATGGGGCATGGCATGTTCTCTAGGAGAGAGAGGGGCGGGGGCATCTTGCTCACAGGAAGCCAGACGACACAGGCATGTAGGCATGTGCCCAGGGCTCAGAGGGTCCAAGTTCCTGGCCTTTCCTGATAGGGCTTGCTGCTGGGCTGCCCAAGCTCAAAAAGAGACTTGAGGAAATTTTGCATTTATGGGAGCTTTTCTTTTCCTGCCACTTTCCTGTTCTGGGTTGTATCTGTGCACATGATTGGAACGCAGCAGCCTGAGCTCCTGCCTGAGAAGAGCAGCCGCCGGTCAAGGTCCAGCTGGGGCACGTGGGTCTGGCTGGCAGATGAAGGGCTGGCCTTCATCAAGAAAACAAGCCCCGTGAGGGCAGGAGCCCGACCTGTTGATTCCACACTACCGAGCCTGGTGCTCAGTGATGTTTATGTGACCAAGTGAGCCAGCGGTGGGCTGAGGCACCAGTCTGATGTTTGTACTGGTCTTCCTTGAGGCAGCTTGGGGGTGTGGAAAAAGCACATGTTGCCAAAATTGACAGACTTGGGTTCAAATCCAAGCTCTGCCACTTACCACCTGGATGGTCTCGTGGTGGGTCATTAATCACCTGAAGCCTCAGTTTCCTCACATCTGCCTCCCACGGTCCCTGTGAGGATCAGAAACAATGTGTATATCGGGTACGTGCGGTGTGTGTGGGTGAGTGCTCCGTGGCAGCTGCGGTTCTCCTGAGGTCAGGGCTGTAGCCCGGCAGGTGTGTGGAAAGAGCCCGACAGCCAGGCTGACTCTGTGCACTACCCTTTGTTCTGCCTCCTCAGACCTTCACGGCGTGGTGCAACTCCCACCTGCGGAAGGCAGGCACACAGATCGAGAACATCGACGAGGACTTCCGAGACGGGCTGAAGCTCATGTTGCTCCTGGAGGTCATATCAGGTGAGGCTCCCAGCCACACAGTGCGGCCCAGACCTGGCACAGGTGCTCGGCCACAGCAGTCCCCAGAGATGCTGCCCACCCAGCTGTCTCGTTGCCCCTGGGGAGGAGAGGGCACCCCTTAGCATCTGCACGGCGGCTGGGTGGGTGGGGCTGGAGTGGCCTGGTGGTCCAGCAGGGGAACCTGGTTTTGGTGAACAGAGAAGACTCTAAAGCTTCTCTCCCTATCTCCCTTTCTTTCTCTCTGTCTCGCCCCCTCTTCTTTTCTCTTTGTGCATTTCTCAGGGGAGCGGTTACCTAAGCCGGAGCGGGGGAAAATGAGAGTGCACAAAATCAACAACGTGAACAAAGCACTGGACTTTATTGCCAGCAAAGGCGTCAAGCTGGTCTCCATCGGGGCAGAAGGTGAGCTGGAGATGGAGCAGTGAGGGTCCTGCTCAATTTCTGACCTTCAGGCTCTGAGGCACGTCTGCATTCTGAAGAGAAATTTTGTTGGTCGTAGGGTGCTTGGGGCACTCAGAGCCCCAGTACATACTCAGCAGTGATCCCAACAACTGTTCTTGATACGATGCTGGGCCCACAAGCTCCCCCAGCCCCTTGGAAAAATCCGGTGGACACAGTCCAAATCTAGGAAGTGCAACCCACCCAACCATGGGGGCGGCAGCTTCTGTAGGGGGTGGAATGGTTTTGACTTGCACTCAGGTCGCCCTCACTGGTTCTCCTTGTGCCAGGCTCAGCAGACAGTAACAAACACGTGCCATAGCCTCTCTCTGTACCAGGAACACTTTTCTCATTATGCCCTTCCCAATATCAGAGAAGGGGACTGGAGGCCCCGTGTCAGGCATCGGGACAGGGAGTGCATGGCCAAAGGTCAGTGCCCAGACTTCGCCCTGTGTGCACAGGCTTGGAGAGTTTCACCTCTGACCACCCCAGGATCCTCCTGGGCCCCATGTAGATAACCAGGACTGTAGCCTCACTAGAGCAGCAGGCTCTCAGCAGGGGCCCCTGGGTTGAGCTCCCAGGCGCTTTTAGAGACAGGCGAGGTCTGATGGAGCTCAGAAGCTCCCCAGCAGCGTGGGCTCACAGTTCTGCTCATTAGTCAGAGTAAGGATTCTTCACCCTGACATCCATGTTGTCCCAGCTTCTAGAAAAACAAAGTAAACTAATTGCCGTTAATGACAGGGCTCTGAGAGTTTGGCCAAGACTCCGGGCCAGAATGTGTGTACTGAGTTCCAAGGCTCTGCCCTGGCCCAGGACCTCTGCGAGGAGGGGTGCCAAGCCTTGCATGCCACAGTCGAGGTGGTTGGTGTTTGTTTAAAAAAATCACAACCCAAAAATTCAGTCAGGCCCTGAGATTTTCTGTCCTTGCATGGATCTTTCCTCCGGGCTCTGTTCCAGCCTTCTGCTTCTCACAGCTGCATTTATTTTGCTCAAATGCTAGTCTGTAAATACAGGAGAGGTTAGAGGAGAGACCCATGGCAGTCATCAGTTTTCATTTGGAGAAAAACTTGGTCTAAAAATGTTCTCTGGGCCGGGTGCGGTGGCTCACGCCTGTAATCCCAGCCCTTTGGGAAGCCGAGGCGGGCGGATCACAAGGTCAGGAGATCGAGACCACGGTGAAACCCCGTCTCTATTAAAAAATACAAAAAATTAGCCGGGCGCGGTGGCGGGCACCTGTAGTCCCAGCTACTCAGGAGGCTGAGGCAGGAGAATGGCGTGAACCCAGGAGGCGGAGCTTGCAGTGAGGCGAGATCGTGCCAGTTCACTCCAGCCTGGGCGACAGAGCGAGACTCCATCTCAAAAAAAAAAATGTTCTCTGTTCCTGCCCAAATTGGTTCACTCCTAGTCCCTGCGACTGTGGGGCCTCGGAACAAAGCCTAATGGAGGCGTTCCTGGGGCTCAAGGCACCTGAGAACCCCACCCCACGCTGTCCCCCTGTCCTTCCACATGATCGGGCATTCGCGGGATTGTTGGCTTCCCATAGGGGTGATGAGAGGGACCAGAGGCACAGCTGCAGGTCAGAGAAGCAGCTGGTGGATGTGTCATGAGAAACGCCATCCTCCTCTCCTCACCAGAACTCCATAAGCCCTCCGTGACCAGCTGCACCGGTGCCCGCTGGGCTGGGGAGCTGCGGCCATGCCCAGCTCTGCAGGCCCAGCCCTCGGGAGGTGCACAGCATAGATTTCCTGAGGCTCAAACTGCCTCGCTCCACTAAGGGGCAGGTGGCGCTGCTCCGTTTCTGGGTCTGGGGCTCTGAACCCTAGGACAGGGTGGACACTGGGTCCCTCCCCTGTCTCTGGGCAGCAGAATCAGCATATTTCCTCCTCCGAAAACCCGAAAGCTGTGGCTCATGGACACCCCCTTCCTCTGGGTGTATCCCCGGGGGAAGGTGGGCCCCATCTTCTCTGTGACCTCTCCACCTGCTTCCAAGCAAGCCTGCCCTGGAGTGTTCTGCTCAGAGGTCAGTGAGCAGGTTCTCCTGTGGTGTCCTGTGCCTCCAGCTCTGCAGTTAGCTCTGCAACTCACCCCTGTGCCCAGCCCTTCCCAAGAGTAGTTGCAGCAGTGGAGCCCCTCTGTCTTCTTTGGAAGCCCCTTCACCGTGCTCCTTGCATCTGGCATGTTGACAGGTGGGGAGGACTGCCCTAGGCACGCCTGACTGGTGGACTCCGGGATGAGGCACTGCCTTCTCTCATCCAGCCTCAGACACACAGCTGCCCTGGGCCTTGCAGAGAAAGTTTTTCTCTTTAGTTGCTGAGGCTGAGGAAGGTGTGGTCCAAGCCCTTCTTTTGAGAAGTTTCAGCAAGTTTTTTTTTTTTTTTTGAGATGGAGTCTCACTCTTGTCTTCTAGGCTGGAGTGCAATGGTGGAATCTTGGCTCACTGCAACCTCCTGGGCTCAAGCAATTCTCCTGCCTCAGGAGAGTAGCTGGAATTACAGGCATCTGCCACCATGCCAGGCTAATTTTTGTATTTTTGGTAGAGACAGGGTTTCACCATCTTGGTCAGGCTGGTCTCAAACTCCTGACCTCAGGTGATCCACACCCGCCTCAGCCTCCCAAATTGCTGGGGTTACAGGTGTGAGCCACCACACCTGGCCGCAAATGTTTGTTTTTAGGTTAGTTCAGAAAGCGTACAGCCTGGCCACCTGGCCTCAGGCCTGTGCTCTCCCCTTCCTGACAACACAGCAGTCATGCTTGTTCCTCACCGGCCTTCCAGACACTGGATCCAGTGGTGGTCAGAGCAGCCTCGCCCTCATGAGGGCTGGCAGATGGTGAACAAGTAAACAGCCCGTCCAACACGTGATTTCACATAGTGATGGCTTGGGGGCAGCACAGGGGCCAGGGAGGGAGGAACTGGGTGGTGGGTGGGGGAGCTCCTTGGGACGGGCAGTCAGGGAAGCCACAGTGAGAGGTGGCACAAGCAGAAGCTTGCACGATGAGAAGGACCAGCCAGTTGAGGGTTGCAGGCTAGGTGCGTGCTTTGTGGGTGGACAGAAGGTGTGAACATCTCAAAGCAAGAAAGAGCCTGGCTTGCCCAGAGGATGCAGGTAGAGAAATCTGGGAGGATGGCAAGGCCTGGGCCTTCAGGGCAAGCCTTTTCCCTGTGGGCCAGTCATGGAGGCTTACACTTGCAGTCCCAGCACTTTGGGAAGCCAAGACGGGAAGATCACTTGAGCAGGAGTTTGAGACCAGCTTGGGTAACAGCAAGACCCAGCCTCTACAAAAAGTTTAAAAACTAACCAGGTGTTGTGGCGTGCGTCTGTGGTCCCAGCTACTCGGGAGACTGAGGCAAGAGGATTGCTTGAGCCGAGGCAGTCAAGGCTGCAGTGAGCTGTGACTACACCATTGCACTCCATCTAGCCAGCCAGACCCTGTCTCAAAAGAAGAAAACCGACCATGCTGGCTGCTGTGTCGATGTGGATTATGGGCGGGAAGGGTACATAGGAGGTAGCCTCATTGAACTCTGGAGATGAGAGTGGCTTGGAAGAGAGTGTTGGCAGTGGGATTGGAAGGAAGTGGTCAGATTTGCAATAAATAATAATGTAGTGTACATTTGCTGACTGAGAGATGAAAAAGACTACCTTTGCCCTGAGAGCGTGGGCCTGCGGTGCTCCCCTGTAGTCAGGAGGTATGCAGATGAAGGCAGAAATGTACAGAGCACTGAGAGTTGAGAGAGGTGTGAACAGAGGCCACACACCTGAGACTGGCCTCTTGGAGGAGTGGTTTTTTGAGTTGGGTCGGGAGAAGGAGCTGGCTGCGGGGCCAGGGACCCTTGTGGCCAGAAGCCTGCAGGCGCTCAGTAGCAGGAGGCTCTGGAACAGCGCTGCCCAGAGACTGTTCCATGCATTTTCTCCTGAGAGAGGGAGGAGGACGGGCCTGGGAGATGCACCTGGGGGTGGTTTGGAGCCTTTCTCTAGATAGGGCTGGAAGGTCACCTTCAGATTGGGCGGAGGAGCCTCACTTTGATTTTAACGACCTTCTGTCCTCTGCCCCCTTCCCTGTGTGCAGAGATTGTGGACGGCAACGCAAAGATGACCCTGGGAATGATCTGGACCATCATCCTTAGGTTCGCCATCCAGGATATTTCCGTGGAAGGTGAGAGCCACCTGTACTGTGCCCGCTTCCCACCTGAGTCAGGGCAGGTTAGAGGAGAGCTGAAGTGTGGTCTTCGTGCTTCAAGCCTCTTCCTGCTTCGTTGGGGTCGCTCACAGGGCCTGACCTTCGCAGGAGTAGTCAGTGGGTGGCAGGTGAAGGGAGGCTCCTCCCAGCCGCCCACCTCTTGGCTCCAGTGCCCTCTGAGTGCCTTTGCTCTCGCAGCCTCATCTCAGTGGACCCTCATGCCACCCTCATGAGATGGGCAAGGATAGCTGGGCCCATTTTACAGTCCAGGAACCCAAGTCCCAGAACAGACTAGTGAGAGAGTTGGGCCTGGGCCTGGTTCTGTGTTTGCTCGACATCCCCGTCCTTGAAACTTGGTCCCCATGGACGCGTTATGAGCTCATGCCGTCCAGGAATGGACGATTTTGCTTCCCTTCAAGCTCCTGTGTGCACACAGGATGGGCAGAGCCACCTGGGCCAGCATGCAGGAGCTCACAGGTGCCGGGTCGCAGTGATGACCGGAAGAGATGTGCTTCCTGCCCTTAAAGGGCTCCCAGTCTGTGAGGACAGCTGAGCTATCCACGGGGAACAGAAGGGCCCCCTAGGCTTCTCCACAGCTGACTTTTCACCTTGTTCAAAAGAGGCCAAGGCCAGTGTCAAGGGCTTGTCTGCAGTGTGTTCTGGTGGTAAAAGGCACGGGCTTGGTGGCCAGGCACACGGCACAGATTCAGGCCCTGACACCACCACCTCCTGGGGCAGCCCTGGTCAAGCGATTCTCCTTGGGGCCATGAGGATTAAGCAGGGCTGTGTGTCCTGGCAGTTGGGCCTGGCAGCATCCGTCTGCATCCGGAATGGGAGTAGCCGTCTCACTGCTATCACTGCTGCTGTTGTTAGGACTGATGTCCTCTCCCCTTGGGTTTTGTTTGACCCCTAGGCCTGAGGCTGAAAGTCCCATCCAACTTGGGCTGAGTTCTGAGGGTTTATTTTTGAGCCAGTGCTCACTGTCTTTGTGTGTTTTGCAGAGACCTCGGCCAAGGAAGGGCTTCTTCTCTGGTGCCAGAGAAAGACAGCCCCGTATAAGAACGTCAATGTGCAGAACTTCCACATCAGGTGAGCACCAGTCCTGCTCATCCTCTCCCTTCCTCTAGGAACCTGAGATCCTTCCTCCCACCTACTCTGTTTCCTGTGTTTTTGTCATGGTCTGTGAGATGCCAGCCCTCAGTCAGCCCCTCCCTGGCCATGGGCCCTACAAGCCCATGGGAAGGTCACCTGGTCCTCTCTGAGGAAGAGGAGGCAGTTTCCCAGCCATCCTGGCTGAAGGCCGTAAGGTCAGCCCTCTCGCTGGCCTAATAGAACGTTCTTCGTCCCCAGACAAGGTGACTCTCAGAAGCAACAATAAAGCTCTTCATTTTTGAGATAGGGTCTTGTACTGTCGCCCAGGCTGGAGTGCAGTGGTGCGATCGCTCGTCCCTGCTGCCTTGGCCTGGGCTCAAGTGGTCTTCCTGTCTCAGCCTCCCAAGTAGCTGGGACTGCAGGTGCACGCAGCCACACTTGGCTAATTTTTTATTTTCATTTTTAGTAGGAACGGGGTCTCCCTGTGTTGCCCAGGCTGGACTTGAACTCCTGAGCTCAAGCAGTCCTCCTACCCCGGCCTCCCAAAGTTCTGGGATTACAGATGTGAGCCACTGCCTGCCCCTGGCCTCTTCCTTTATTTTGACAGCTCAAGAGTGAATTGTTTTTAGAGTTGCTATTGAATTTTGTGTTGGGGAAAAATGTACTCTGTGGCTGCTAAGATGAACAAGCCTCAGCTCTGCCATGAACCTGCTTCCCTCAAAGTGAGTGGGAGATGAGACATGTCCACCATCGCCGTAGCTGAGGCGGGCATGGGCAGTGCCACATGCGGTCCAGGGGGTGGCAAGAGGCGGGCCTGCCCAGTGTTTGGGAGCACTGGCTCTGGGGGCCGCCCTGAAGTCAAATCCGGTTTGCCCTGTGGCTCCACCCTCTGAGTCTCCTGGATGACCCGCATAGGAATGAAGAGCAGGGCCTCGTGGGATATGCAGCGGCTTCAGGCTCTCAGGGACCCTCGCTGGGTGCAGAGGGCTTTTCCCATCGTGCTCACCCTGAGAGCATGTGGTCCTTCCCTTGGTCACTCTTCTCTGTGTGTCTCCTTTTTTTCCCTGCCACTAACTGACTGAATCTTCCTATAGCTTCCATTCATTTTCTTCAACTAGTAAGTATCTAGCATGCCCGCTGCATGCCACTAGTGGAGATACAGTGGCACCCAAACAAAGTCCCCATTTGTGGGAAGTTTACGCCACAGCGCGGGACCAGCTGTGAACACAGTGGCCAGTAATCCCGCAGCATAACTTCAGTGAGAAGTGCTGCACAAAGACAGGGAAGTCAGAGGAAGAAAGTTCCCTGGGTGGCCTTTCTGAGGAGGTGACATCGAGCTTGACCTCAGAGGGAACCAACCCTTAAAGGGTCTCAGGGAGGAGAATGTGACCCATCTAGCTTGTAACTGACCAACTTGTGGCCTTGGGGAGGTCCCTCTACTCCAGAGACCCGCGTGCCAAGCAAAATCCTGGCATTTAGCCAGCCCACGGACTGGCCTTCCTGTAAGTCAGGTCCACCAGGGTGTGGAGGCCACACAGCACAGGCACCAGCCTCCTGCAGTGGCCACCTCCCCCGAAGTGGTCTGTCTGGTTCAGGGCGGCCTCCCATGGAAGGTGCTAGCAGTTACAAAGCAGTTGTCGTGAGTCAGGCACTGATCCAAGCATTTACTCATTTAGTCCGCACAGCAGCCCTATGTAGCAGGTATGTCACTATCCCCATCGTACAGATGTGGACACCGAGATAGCCTGGCTTACCCGAGATCACGCTGTCAGTAGGCAGACAAGTCAGGGTTTGATCTCAGACTGCCTGGCCCCAGAGGTCATGCTCACAGCCTCTCTGCCACACCGTCTCCATGCAGTGCCTGGCACAGGCCAGACCTCAGTGAATGAGAATTAGTCATTGCTGTGGGTGCGCAGGGCCATACGGCACTCTTGTGACAGTGAGCGGGCCTTCCTATAACCTTTGCCTTTCCTTCCTCAGCTGGAAGGACGGTCTTGCCTTCAATGCCCTGATCCACCGGCACAGACCAGAGCTGATTGAGTATGACAAGCTGAGGAAGGTGGGTGTCTCGAGCTCCCCTTGATAGCCCACAGACGCGCCCTGTCTGACCCCCTAACTCTGGGTCACCATCCCCGTGTCCATCCATCGCCAGCCTCCAGATCCCGGTTCTGCAGGCAGATGGGTGGCCTGGGAGAGCCTTGTGCAGGCTTCCTGCGACCTCTGGCTTGGTGGCTGACTCTCACCTCCCTTATTCCCCTCGGGGGCTGTCCACTCTCCCTCTATGACACTGCAACCAACCCGGGGTTATTTACGGGCCTGGCCAGCCATGCTTTATAACTCCCCTTCCTCAACCTTCTGGATTCTAGAACCTCCTCTGCCCAAAGGGGCAGAGGACAAGGAATTCCAAACCATCACTAGCCCATGTTGCCCATACAGGGTCCTGCTCTCATTTGCCTATTCAAAGCCTGTATGAACCCAGGCCTTGCCCACCAGAAGCTGCCAGCCTCATGGGGGAAGGCAGGACAAAAATTTTGTCCAAAGCAAAGCACCACACCAGGCCATGCACATGTGCTCAGGCTGAATGGGGTGGCAGGGCGTGAGGTCAGAGCAGTGCTGCGGAAGAGGCTAGTGCACCCCGAGCCAGCAGGAGCCCGGAAGGGCCCCAGAAGAAGAGGCAGCTTAGAGCCAGAGGAGGGCTTCCTAGGGGAGGCACCAGACAGCACCCAGCCCATTCCAGCCACAGCGAGCAAGAGCGCTAGGTCCTGGCCAGGGAGACTTGGGGTGCAGTGGGCTTTAGTCCTGTAAGCAGTGGGGAGCCCTTGAGGGGGCTGGGGGACACTTCAGGGTGGTTGGCACCTGGGAGCTCTCAGTTTGCTCTCCTTACCCAGTCCCCAGTGCTCTCTCGGGTCTGGCCCACATCTTCCAGTCAGCATGAAAACCAGGGTTTAGGGCAGGGGGCTTAATCTAGGGTCTGTGGGTGGCTGGAAATTGTATGAAAAGGGTACACCTGCATTTTTCTGGAGAAAAAGCCCATGGTTTGTCCCCCAAAGATTTCACGAAGCACTCCTGTGAGTAGGAATTGAATTTATCCAGTCGGTGCCCTCCCGCTCACACACCACACACCACACATGGCCGAGAACTGCCTGAAGAAACCCCCAGTCCTAGCCTTCCTGGGTCTCTCCCTCTGGGCCAGCCCTGCCTGCCTCCTACTCCCGCACTCTGCCCTGACGGAGTTCTTGTTGCTGTTCCCACTTGCCTCCTTCCAGGACGACCCTGTCACCAACCTGAACAATGCCTTCGAAGTGGCCGAGAAATACCTCGACATCCCCAAGATGCTGGATGCAGAGGGTAAGTCATCTCTTCTGTTCAGCCAGCGCCGTGCTTCCTGATGGCCTTATCTGTCCAGGGCTGACCTCGGGCAAGGGCCTGTGGGCATGTCAGAGCTTCGGGTCACCTTGGGGAGCTGGCAGAGCCAGCGAGAAGGGCTGAATGATTCTGGGTGAACTCGGGACAGCCGTGTTGCCCTGGGAGACGAAGCGAGGACATCCTGGGCTGGCCAGATTACTTCAGGGATGGAGAAGGGTATGGGGAGGGGGAGCTGAAGGATCAGCTCTCCTGAGACTGCATCTCCACAGGACCCGGGAGGGGCAAGGTGGCTGAGGGGTGTTCCAGGCTTCCTGCGAGCAAGCCTGGCCTCTCCCTCCCTACCTGCAGCAGGCATGGAGTGTGGAGCCTGCCAAAGTGGAGTGTTTTGTTTTTTCCTTTCCGGCTTTGCTCCATTTCCCAGCCATGCACTGCCCCAGCAGGGACCTGTGTCTCTGGCCTCTGGTGGCCCTTGGAGTTGACTGTCCTGCTGCTCCTTGAGGCCATTCTCAGAGAACAAAAGTGGCCTCATTTTAATCTGCTTCCCACAGGCTTGTCCTTTCCAGAGCCATGGGAGAGGGTGGGGCTGAGGGTGTGGCTGAGCCCACCCAAGTCACAGTCACTCTGCGGGTCCCTCTCCCCCAAGGCCGTGGCTCCCAGTGAGTGAGGCCTCCACCCCGCCTGCCTGCCTCGGGCAGTTTAACCCTTGTCGTTCACTTACAGACATTGTGAACACGGCCCGCCCCGACGAGAAGGCCATAATGACCTATGTGTCCAGCTTCTACCATGCCTTTTCGGGAGCGCAGAAGGTACCGGGCAGGGCCAGGCAGGCCCTCCTCGCCGCCACCGCGCAATGCCGCCGCTGCCTCTTGCCTCCCGTGCTCACCTCATTTCTCTTGCAGACAGCAGTGGCCTCTCTCTGGCTGGAAGCCACCCCCTGCTCCCTGGTGTTGCTGCCCCCTCAGCCTTAGCTCACACACCTGTCGGGTACCTCATCTGTGCCAGGCTTTTCCAGGCATTGAGGATACCCTGGTGACTGGGTCAGGCAAGGTCCCTGCTCTCAGGGTACTTCCATGCTAGTGAGAGAGACACACCTGGCCTGTCACAGGAGTGGAATAGAGAACATGGGGCTAGATGGGGGGACAGAGATGACTGGGGTGACCTTCAGCTGGCACTGTCAACATGGAGGGGTGTCGTGAGCAGGTACTTGCAGCAGGAGCTGCTAGATGCAGCCTGGGGCACGGGTGTTCCAGGCAGAGGGTGAAGCACGTCGAAGGCACTGAGACAGGAAGAAGCTTGGCTTATTCAAGTACCAGCTAGAGAGGAGTGAGTGACAAGCAGTGACAAGCAGTGATGGGCCAGGCCCCACAAGACCCTTGTGGTGTGGGATAAGGAATTCTCATTTTACTTAGGGCCACGGGAGCCCCTAAGGGTCTTACTCCGTGGTGGTAGGTGCTCACTCACATTTTCAGACAGATCATTTAGCAACTGACTCCTCCAGCCCAAAACAAAACTGCCTTTATAGGGCTCACGGCTAGTCTGTCCCCAGCCCAGGCCTGGTTAGAAAAGGAATGCACCCCATTTGGACTCCACAAAACCCCGCAAGGCATGTCCACGCAGGCCTGGGGCTGGCTTCCAGTCCAGAGCAAGCGCTCTTCCTCCCGCATGAGCCTCGGGCCGGCCCGGCCGCCCTCCCTGCATCTTTCACTCTCTCCTGCCTCTCTCTCTCTTTCTCTCTCTCTCTGTGCAGATATTGTGGGTACTCTGAGGCCAGATGAGAAGGCCATCATGACTTACGTGTCCTGCTTCTACCACGCTTTCTCGGGGGCTCAGAAGGTGAGCTGGGCCGGGCACACCTCGCTGCTGGGGCTGCAGACCTGCCTTCACCACCGCCCTTGCGTGACCACCGGCCATCTGTGATTGGAGCCCTGGCCAGGCTGCGGGCCACCACACCACACAGACTGACCCTGCTGGGCTCTGACTCAGAAGGGTCCCCTGGGGCAGGTTTCCCGCCTGGCTGGTGCTGGGCCTGTGCTGAGGAGCCACAGACCTTCTCTGAACACAGCCCACCCTGGGAGGTGGGTAGTGGCATCCCAGGCGCTCAAGCAGAGAAACTGAAGCCCTGCGTCACAGTCAATGGCAGAGCTGGGATTTGACCGCCCAGCGTTCCCACTTGCCCCGTCCATCATCTGTACCACCTGCCTGCCCCTGCCGGGCCCTTTCATGGGGAGCACTGGGCTTTACCCCAGTTCTGCAGCTCCTTCTTGCCAGGAAAGGCTCAGCGTGTGCAGCCCAACCTGCACTCACGGTCCCGGCCTTCCAGAGGCCAGACAGAGCCCACAGAGGGTGTGTGCCAGCAGCCGCCCTCCTGCGCCCGGCTGACCTCATGCTGCCCCGTGGCTCCTGCTGGGCCCTCAACGTTCACGCAGAGGCCCAAGCACTGCTCCCCCTGCTTGCCTTGTGGTCTGTGAAGTACCTCAGGCAACACTCCCGATGCCTGCTTTGGTGTCAGTAGTTGGCACAGGTGCAAAGGAGGAGGTGGAATCGCTTCTTGTTTACTGAGCATGTACTGCATACTAGGCGCTCTCCAAGCTGTTCACATGCACAGGCTTCCAGAGGGCCCCTGTGCACACCCCTAGGAGGGCTAGGCGCAGTTAGCCCCATTTGAGAGAGGAGGAGTTAAATTTTAGGGAAACAGAGCTGTTCCTAAAGCTAGAAGGCAGGGGCTGTACCTTCTGTAGACCCCCTGCTTCGAACCCCCAATCTAGAAAGTCCATTACCCACCGTCAGTCTGGCTTGGCCCCACTCTGCCACCTCTTGGTACTGTGACCTTGGGTAGGTCACTTGACCTCAGCTACCCCATCTGTGAAATGGGCATCGCTGTAGTTCAGTCTCACAGGATTGCTCTGGGCGTGAAACAAGCAGGCAAAGGGCTTAGCACAGTGTCTGGCATGGCAGGTGCCTTGTCAGCAGCCGGGGGAGTCACAGTGGTGGGGAGTGTGGTTCTTCCCAACCTCAGGCCAGAAAGGCCTCTTCACCTCCTCAGCATGCGATTGGAGCTTGTGTTTGGAGTGTTCTGCTAGAGGGCACGGGCCAAGAGGGTGGAGGGAGGACCCCTGACCCACACCCCCGCAGGAAGATGGGCAGGGACCAGCAGCAGTGGACGATTCGTCACCATAGATCCCAACTAACAGCATGTTTGCCATTGGACTCTCCCCTACGGGCCCTGAGCCAGCCCCCTGCCCACCACATGGCCTCATCAGATTGCTTTTCCTTTTACCCACACTGCTCCTCTGTGCTTAAGGCTGAACTCCAGTGTGGAGGCGCTGAGAGATTTGGGGGAGCAGGGACTGGCATGCGAGCCCAGGACAGCATGGGTGGGTGCTGAGGTGCTAGGCCTGGAGGCTTGTCACCGGCCCCTCTCCTGAGGGGGTAGCGGAGGCCTGGCTGCAGGGTGCTGGCTGGTTGGGAAGGAAAGTGCTGGGTCCCTGTGTGCTCCTCAGGACAGCCACATGGTGCTGCTCCTGCAGCCATCGTTTCCCCAGAGACCCAGTCCGAGCTCTTGCAAGAGTGCTCTCTAGGGTTCGTGTTTCGTAAATGCAGAGTGAACCCCAGGCCTAGCGCTGGTGTGCCCATTCTGTCCTGATCGTTTATTTCCAGTCACTGAAGCGTTCCCACCTCGTTCCTTTATTCACTCACTCATTCAGCAATCCTGAGCACCAGCAGTGCACTGAGCCCTAAGCTGGATGTGGGAACTCAGCAGTGAAACATGATTCCCCTGCCCTGTGGCAGCCCCGTGCTCACAGAGTGGACTTGAGTTTCGGGTGCCAGTTTTCTCTGCCCAGTTAGGAGTCAGGGACTGACCTCTGTGACCTCCACAAGCTGCAGCCCTGGCTGTGTTTTCCACACTGGTCTGGGGCCCGTGTTCCTTGGCCGAGGAACCTCCTGGACCTCATCTCTGAGGAGCACCGCCTGGGGCCCTGGGTGTGTGTCCCGCAGCATGGCGCGGGGTGTGCACGTGTGTGTGTGCACTCACATGAGCCCCAGCTGCCGCCTCCCCGCCTGTCTCCAGGTGCCGTGCGTGGAGGGGAGAGGCTGGGCATCGCTGCCTGCAGCGCTGGCTCTGAGCCATTGGCCAAGCCTCTCCATTTTCCTTCCCCATCACTCTGTAGACCCTCCTCATTCTTTCTGTTCCTGTTCTGTTGCCGTTTCAACTCCTCCTCTTGGACCCTTTCTGTGCTTCCTGAAAGGTACCTGGTCTTTCCTCTCCCTGTGTGCACCCCCCACCTCCTCTACACTGTTCACTGCCCCACAGCAGGACAGGGCAGGATGTTCTCCTGTAGTTCAGGCCCAGGGACTATGTCCACCACTCTCATCCTCCAAAGCCCCAGTGCTTTTCTGCCCCATGGATGGTGACTTTTGCCCCCTGGAGCTCCTGTTAACCCTGCCTCCAAGGCAGGAGAGAGGACAGGCCTGAGTGTGCTCCTGTGCATAGACCACCAGGCTCCTCCGGGGCCCAGGCGCCTCTGCTCTGCTGCCCCCAGCTCTCCAGCTTTTGGCTTCCCATCCATTCACCTTCCCACCGGGAGAGACTCCTCCACGGTCTTAGGTCCAGCACAGCCAACCCATCCAGCCTCACTCTTCTCTGTGTGGGGCACTAGAGGGTTTGCGAGCAGCAGTGGGAGGGCTCCCCGACCTTCCTCGGTGCCTCCCAGGTCTGGGCTCTCTGGACCCAGGGGCATTTTGCAGTTAGCAGTGAGGATGCCAACAAGGCCTGTTGGGACAGGGCACCATCTCACTGGAACTGTGCTTCCTCTCCTTCCCCTCTGTGAGGAGTTCTGTGGGCCTTGGACCAGCTGCTTTCAAGGGACATGCCCGTCAGGAGGGAGGGTGGCCAGCCCCCAGGCAGCCCTGACTGTGCGCTCCCCTCCAGGCTGAAACTGCCGCCAATCGGATCTGCAAGGTGCTGGCTGTCAACCAAGAGAATGAGCACCTGATGGAGGACTACGAGAAGCTGGCCAGCGACGTGAGTGTCCCCCCAGTGAAAGTCAGGGCCACCTCGTTACCCTCAGCCAGAGGTCACTGTGACTCTTGCAGTGGGAAAGCAGGTGTGGCAGCGAGATGACCTAGAAAAGTCTGCGCGGTCACAGACCATGGCATTTAGCCAGCCAGTGTGTGACCTCTCCATTTGCTTCCACAAGGCTAAGGGTCAGACTGGCAGCTACCTTGCCATTCAGTCCCTGGGCTCCCGAGCTTGGGTTCCTACAGAGATGCTCAGGGACAGTGTTTCCTGGGCACCTCAGTGCTTTAGCTTTAGAATCACCCGGGGAGCTTTGTGAAAGTCCCTCTTCCCGTGCCCTGGCCCTGGAGAGAGCGATTCAGAAGGATGGAGAGGGGCCTGGGAATGAGCAGGATAGCAGGCCCTGTGCAGGCACTTCACAAGCAGCCCAGCAAGACAGGAACTCAGATTATCCTTTCGAAGTGAGGAAACTGAGGCCCAGGGAGGGTCAGGCACGTGCCTGCTGTTACATGACTGGTGGGACAGAGAGCTGGGCTTCAAGCCCAGGAAGCCCTTCTCTAGAGCCCAAACTCAATGCTTCAGTTGGAAACAAGGGTGGTTTGTATATCTCTTCTGGAGGCTCTTCATTTTTGAAATCTCCATATTTAAGAAATAAAAGACTGGGCGCAGTGGCTCACGCCTGTAATCCCAGCACTTTGGGAAGCCAAGGCAGGCGGATCCCTTGAGGTCAGGAGTTCAAAACCAGCCTGGCCAACATGGTGAAACCCCGTCTCTACTGAAAATACAAAAACTAGCCGGGTGTTGTGGCACACACCTGTAGTCCCAGCTATGCAGGAGGCTGAGGCAGGAGGATTGCTTGAGCCTGGGAGACAGAGGTTGCAGTGAGCTGAGATTGCGCCACTGCACTCCAGCCTGGTGACAGAGCAAGACTCCATCAAAATAAAAATAAAATAAAATAAAATAAAATTTCCCAAAGAGCAGTGGTTTGACTGCTCATATAGAACCAGTGGTTCTTAGATTTTCCTATCTCATAGACCAGGAAAATTTGAAAAACTATTTGATGTCCAACCTAAGATGGCCAGCTTTTTATTTTGCCAAGTTACGGATGTTTTAAAAAGAAACATTACCATCTGTTACCACCAGCACTTCTAACACCAAGATAAGGTAAAAAGGTTATTCTTAGAACCCCAGCCGTTGCCAAGAAAGGACAGCTGGCAGCACGCCTCACAATGTATCCACACAGGGGTATTTCTGTCCTTGAATTTCTCACTTTGCCAGAAGTTGGCATTTGGGAACCACTTCTCCAGTTTGTCCATGCTGGCAGATAACTGATTTTATTCTTCTAGAATTGTTTTATTATTTTTTTGAGATGGAGTTTCACTCTTGTTGCCCAGGCTGGAGTGCAATGGCATGATCTTGGCCCACTGCAAACTCCACCTCCCAGGTTCAAGCAATTCTCCTGCGTCAGCCTCCCAAGTAGCTGGGATTACAGGCGCGTGCCACCATGCCCAACTAATTTTTGTATTTTTTTAGTAGAGATGGGGGTTTCACCATGTTGGTCAGGCTGATCTCGAACTCCTGACCTCAGGTGATCCACTCGCCTCAGCCTCCCAAAGTGCTGGGATTACAGGTGTGAACCAGCATGCTCGGTCTAGAATTGTTTTAGAATGTCCAATTTTTTGTTACCCTTCCTCACTCCATCAAAAATCTGAGTAGCTCCTAAAAGTATATATTTGTTTCATTTTCAATTTTATTTTCTAATGTATGTCCCAGGCCCAGTGCACGCACTGGCCTAGCCAGACTGAGCCAGGTGGGCTTGTCGGCCTTGCCCTTGAGGCACGTAGTGAGCCCGGAAGCAGTGAGGCTCTCAGCGTGGAGCTCAGTGAAGACAGCGGCAGTGGGGCATGTGACAGCATGGAAGGGGACCTTTTTGGCGGGGGCATGGGAGTGGAGGTCTCCCCTCTTAGACCTGAGGGAAAAGACTGAGAGCAAAGGCATGGGCCAGGCATGGTGGCTCACCCCTGTCATCCCACCACTTTGGGAGGCTAAAGTGGGATTGCTTGAAGTTACAAGTTCAAAACCAGCCTCGGCAGTATACTGAGACCCCCTTCTCTATAAAAACTTAAAAATCAGCCAGGCTCAGAGGTAGGCACCTGTAGTCCCAACTACTTGGGAGACTGAGGTGGAAGGATGGCTTGAGCCCAGGAGGTTGAAGCTGCAGTGAGCTATGATCGTGCCACTTCACTCCAGCCTGGATGACAAAGCACGAACCTGTCTTTAAAAAGAAAAGCACAGGCAGGAACAGGAAGTAACAAGAGAATAGTACAGTGATGCAGGGATAGGGAGGGGGCCACATTCCCAGAGTTCTGGGTCGGGGGTTCCAGCAGGAATTGTGGAGAAGTTGGGCTGGGGAGCAGGGGCAAGCCCCTAAAGTGGGGTCCTCAAAGATCCAGATCCCATGTGCCCATAAGCTGGGGGACAGCCCGTCAGCACTCTGAGGGCCCCCGACAAAGGCCACTCTGGCTTCTGTGGGCCCACAGCTCCTGGAGTGGATCCGGCGCACCATCCCCTGGCTGGAGGACCGTGTGCCCCAAAAGACTATCCAGGAGATGCAGCAGAAGCTGGAGGACTTCCGCGACTACCGGCGCGTGCACAAGCCACCCAAGGTGCAGGAGAAGTGCCAGCTGGAGATCAACTTCAACACGCTGCAGACCAAGCTGCGCCTCAGCAACCGGCCCGCCTTCATGCCCTCTGAGGGCAAGATGGTCTCGGTGAGCGCCAGGATTCACAGGGGAGCAGCTGTGAGGGGCAGAGGCAGCCCTAGTCCTGCCTGTGGGCTCACCGTTTGGCCAGCATAGTCTTTCCTAAGTTGTTGATGTCCTGTGGGACATGGCACGGCCTTTCGGATGCAAGGGTCAGGGAGGGGTGCATTTCACTTGACACTGTGCTCCCCTTTGGCCCTCACTGGGTATTTTACACCCAGGGTTTTATTATACCCACCCCAAATCCATGCCACGGGTTGTGTGGGTGTGGAGTGGTGTGAATTTGTCTGCTATGATGGCAGGACCGCCATGTGCTTGAGGCCCTTCATCAACAGAGGGGCAGTGCGCCCTGGACGGTTACCACTTCCCCATCTATGATATCCATTCATTCATACACTCACCCGTTCACACATTCATTTTGTTAATCCAGAATTGATTGTACCTGCCGAGTGCTGAGGGGCCCTGTGTTGGCATCCAGATATAACAGCAAAGTATGGCACAGACATGACCCCAGCCAAGCTCTGCCAACTTCCCATCAGCATCCCTTGGAGACATCCCCCTAGGTGCCCCTGCTTCCTTTTGATAGCCCTGCCTGCTCCTGCCCCGCCCCAGGACATCAACAACGGCTGGCAGCACTTGGAGCAGGCTGAGAAGGGCTACGAAGAGTGGTTGCTGAATGAGATCCGCAGGCTGGAGCGGCTCGACCACCTGGCAGAGAAGTTCCGGCAGAAGGCCTCCATCCACGAGGCCTGGACTGACGGTATGGCCCAGCCCTGCCCCACCCTGCGCAGCCCCGCTCCTGCGCTCCTCTCCTGTCTCTCAGGCACACATGAGGGTGCACACACAGCCCCCTGCCGCATTGGGTGTGTTTCTCAGGTCCCCTTTCTTGCTGCTTGGGAGCATGTGTGTGTGTCAGAAATGCTGCTTTAGAGCCAGGTGCAGTGGCTCACACCTGTAATCCTAACACTTTGTCAGGCCAAGGCAGGAGGATCACTTGAGCCTAGGAGTTTGAGACCAGCCTGGGCAACATAGCAAGACCCTGCCTATACAAAAAAAAATTTTAAATAACAAAATTAGTCAGGCACGGTGGTGCACACCTGTGGTCCCAGCTACTTAGGAGGCTGAGGTGGGAAGGGATCGATTGAGCCAGGGAGGTCAAAGCTACAGTGAGCCTTGATCGTACCACTGCACTCCAGCCTGGTGACAGAGCAAGACCTTGTCTCAAAAAAAAAAAGAAAGAAAGAAAGAAAGAAATGCTGCTTTGGGCCGGGCACGGTGGCTCAAGCCTGTAATCCCAGCACTTTGGGAGGCCGAGACGGGTGGATCACGAGGTCAGGAGATCGAGACCATCCTGGCTAACACGGTGAAACCCCGTCTCTACTAAAAAATACAAAAAACTAGCCCGGCGAGGTGGCGGGCGCCTGTAGTCCCAGCTACTCAGGAGGCTGAGGCAGGAGAATGGCGTGAACCTGGGAGGTGGAGCTTGTAGTGAGCTGAGATCCGGCCACTGCACTCCAGCCCGGGCGACAGAGCGAGACTCCGTTTCAAAAAAAAAAAAAAAAAGAAATGCTGCTTTGGGTTCCTCCAGCCCCAGGAAGCAGGGACCATTCAGGGGCCAGGTCCTCTTTGTTGCCCAGTCTGCCCTTGCCTCAGAGATTACTTACAGGTGGGCCCCTGTCAGTCATCCAGGAATACAGCCAAGCCCCCTCCAGCGCTTCAGGGAAGTGGCCTTATACCCATGCCTTTGTCACCTCTGCCCCTTTGTCACCTCTGCGTGTCTTCTTCCAGGGCGAGCGTGTGGGGCAGGCCTCTTCCATCCCCCGCACCGTGTGTTCAGAGTCGGCTCCCCTCTCCCACACCTCTGTGAGCGTGGACGGCAGGCTGGGGAGCCCGTGTTCACTGGCACGTCCCTTGGGCTAGGCAAGGGCCTGCCTCCTGGGCCTGCTGCGGGACCCGGACAGCAGACAGTGTTCACCCACTGCCTTTGGTCCACCCTTCAGTATGGCCCACCTGCTCACTCCTCCCACCTCCCATCTCTTCCCAGAGCCTCCTTCCCAGGCCTGGCTCCCCCTGCAGGAGCGCAGCTGCACTTTCTGTTCTCAGCAGCCCTGCAGCTCCCTGGCCCTTGGCTCCGGATATGGGATTCCATCACGTCCCTGGCCTTCCTTTGTGTCACGCCAAGGTTGAGATTCCAGATCCCAGGGGTCTGGAAGCCTTCAGAAAGCTGCCAGTGCCTGGGAGAGCCACAAGAGCCATCCATAGGACTCCTCTCCCGTTCTGGCCACCTCCTTCCCAGTGCTGTCTCCCGGGCGCTCCAGCTGCCATTCCGCCCAGCTGAGCCCTTCCTTGCGTTCCTCAGTGCAGTTTCTCACCCCTCCCCACCCTGGCTGCATGTGAGTATGCAGCTCCGCATGGCCCGCAGCCCTGGTCATGGCCCAGCTCGTGTCCTCCTCACAGGAGCTCAGCTCGCCATGCCCGCAACAGCTGCCAGCCCCAGAGCAGCCCAGCCCCTTTGCTGCCAGAAAAGAATGCAGATGAGAGTGGATAGTGAGGAGGAAGGAAGGGCCTGGCCAGGCCAAATGTCGAACTTCCCTCTTGCCTGGCAGAAAGGCACCAGTGTGAGGAGAGCGTGTTGGCACTGATGCCATCTTGTGTGGGTTGGTGGCCTCCATCCGTTCCCGGATTCACTCGTTCATTCAACAGACAGCTCAGGTGGCTCCAGCCGTCCTTATCCATGGAGGCCTGGGCATTGCCCTGTGGCTGAACCTTCTGGGGGTCTTTCTGCCCACCCTTCAACTCTTCAGTCCCTCTACAGGGCTCCGTGAGGCCCTGCAGATGGTTTCCTGCGGCTGAGGGGCTGGGTGGAGTGGCCCCACTGGCGTTCCACCCCTGGGAGAAGGGCTCTGGGGCAGCCTTCACCTGAGGTGTTTAGAAGCCAGTCAGTCTCCCGGCCAGGGCCCAGCTGGTTCAGTGGCCTCCACACATCCCTGCCCCACCCCTGCCTGGCTGGGCATCCACCCGGGTCTGCCCATGGCATCCGCCAGAACCCCCAGGCGGGCTGGACTGCTAATTCCCAAGACTCAGAGCCTGTGTCCTCTCAAGCAGCAGTTATGTGAAACAGGACGGGCAGGCCCTCCACACCCCGGGGTCTGGTCATAGCGGCCTCTTCCGCCCTGGGGTAGGTGGGCCACTTTCGCTCCGCGCCCCTCACCATCCCCCACAGCCCACAGCGGGAGGGTCGTCGTGGATGCTTCTCCAAGGGACTTGATTTCCTGGAAATACGACCAGCCCCCAGCAACCCCTTTTCCCCACTCCGGCTATCCCTTGGCCCGGATTCCAGGTAGCCGTGGCCATGGCCCGCTGCCCACATCCTCTCAGTGCACCTTGCCGGGACTCTGCTGAGGCAGAGGGAGATGTCACCTGCTGTTTCCGGTTCCCGCCCTTGGGAGAAAGCAATTGGAGAAGGGAACTGCAAGGCTGCCTTGTGGCTGAGCCTCCTGCCCCAGGGCTGCGCAGCAGTGCCAGTGGAGCCAGAATCTCTCAGGCCGCCCACCTCTTGCCCATCAGCGCCAGGGCCGATCCCGGGGGGAGGCTGGTAGGTGCCTGACAGATGAGACCGGGAGAGGCTGAGGTGACGCTGGTACTGGCTTCATGCCTGCTGTGCTTGAACACCACCTCACTGAAATTTGAGAATAGTTCCATGCCACATAGGTGCTGGGGCTGGCCCCATTTTACAGATGAAGGCACAGGCCCAGAGAGGCCCTGGTGGCTGCACTGGGCGGGCAACTTTCAGGTGCGCTGGGATAGAGCTGAGGGGATCTCTGCTACCACTCCGGGGAAGCCCAAGTTGGTGTCCCTGAGGCAGGGTCCCTGTAGGAGCTGGGGTGCAGCCACCTTCCCAGGCTGGCATTTTCCCTGCGGTTCCCTAAAGACCTTCACTTGCTTGCAGGGCTGCTTGAGCTTTGGTTCTAGGGTGTGTAATTAGCCAGGATCCGGGAGTAATAACAGTGTTCCTCCTTTCCTTCAAAGGGCCTGACGGTAGGCCCGCCCCACTGCACACAGGACACTTTAGGACAGCGTGGGGCACTTAGACGTGGGAGAGAACCGCCACCTGTGCGGGTGCAGGCTCAGGCTCCTAGAAGAAGCTGGTTCCAATGCTTCCCCTTCCCCAAGCCTGCTGGGACATGGGCTTTGACCCCGGGTGCTTCTCTGGATCAAAGCCCTCCAGAAACAGGTGCTACCTTTTCAAGCTGTGCTACCACGGCCCAATTAGTATGGTTTCCTACTAATAAAAGATGCTAAGTTTAGGACACACAGGTTGAGATGGAATCTCTTTCTCAGGCTCACCAACCCTGAAGTGTCCATCCAGGTCCATCCAGGTTACAGTTGGGCTTAAAGATCCCTAGAGGGTACAGAAAAAGGTTCTGGAAGTTTCCATGCCACCGTCAATGGTGTGGAAGGATGTAGGGTCCACAGTCTCTCTTTCCCTCCCTCTGCTTGGACAGCCACTCCAGACTCCTGCCCCCCAGAGCCACCGTGCTGTGGTCTTAAGTGCCTCTCTGCCCCCACCAGGGAAGGAAGCCATGCTGAAGCACCGGGACTATGAGACGGCCACACTGTCGGACATCAAAGCCCTCATTCGCAAGCACGAGGCCTTCGAGAGCGACCTGGCCGCGCACCAGGACCGCGTGGAGCAGATCGCCGCCATTGCCCAGGAGCTCAAGTACGTGCGGGCTCAGGACACTCCCATCACCTGGCTACCACCACAGCCTGCCCAGACCGGTGGTGGCAGCACGCTGAGGCCCAGCCTGCCTCAAGGCCTGGAATAGGGTCCCCAGTGCCCCAACTTCACCTCCTTCCAGAAGCCAGGGAAGGGCCTTACGGGATGAGGCCTTTTGCGCATCCTGTCTCAGCCCCAGATGGGATACCTGAAGGATCTGGATTCTCTAGCAGGAGGGAGGTGTCTGGCCCCTTGTCTTGATTCTTCAGGCTTTAGGGGTCCCTGGGGGTGCCACCTCTCCTGCTGGCCCCCTGATGGGATCGGCCCCGGCCTCGGTTGCTCCCGGCCGCAGCTCCCTGAGGGAGCCGGGCTGCACAGTGAGCCTATTGTTCTGCCCGGCCCCTTCCCTTTCTTGCTCAGAATACACTTATTGTAAGAGCTTCCAGGCGGCCAGGCTCCTTCTCCTCCCCACCCAGTCAGATAAACTTGTGTACACAATTAGTACGCTGAGGCTCGCGCTGGTGAATGGGGCCTTATTCCACCAGCGAGGCGGCCGGCAGCAGGGCGGGCCCAGGCAGCGGAGGCCCAGGCCATTACTTCATGGAAAATCCACAGGCCCTCGAGGGGCAGCAGGGCTCCCAAAATAGCTGTCTGCTCAAAAATAGGATCCTTGGCTATAACTGCTCTTTCCACTGACACCCCCACCCCACCACAGTCACCCCCAAATGTCTGCTTATTCCTATGAGTCCAAGGCCCGGCCCTGATGCCCAGTGGAGCCCCGTGCCGGGCAGAGCTGGTTTCCTCCCTGACTCACTACCCCCCACTGCCCGGGTGCTTTGAGGGTTCCCCATTGGCTCAGCCAGAGGCAGGAGTCCCATGGGGCTGTCACAGCACTGGAAACCACAGCTGCTTCTTTGGCACAGTTGGGGCACCTCAGGGGTCCTGCCACCACCACATCCAGGCCAAGGAGAGCAAGGCCACAGATGCAGCACCCTCAGGGGTGTGGGGGTGGGACACAGGCAGCTTCCTCAGTGATGGGGGCGCCCCTAGAACCTCGTAGGAAACAGACTTGAAATAAACCCTAGGCCTGCCCCCTTCTCAGGCCCTGGGCAATGCCATGTGAAACCCATTACTCTGCTCAGGAATAGGCAGTCCCTGAAGCAGCTTTCTGGACGGTAGCCCTGGAGGAACAGAAGGGAGGGCTGTCCGGGTCCTGTCTGTTCTGCTGCGGGGGAAGTACAGAGGCCTGTGGACCGTCCAGGATGAGCCGGATGGGCAGCCCTGCTGAGCGCTGATTAATGGCGACAGCAAAAACTCACTGAGCTCTCAGGGCTTCATGTGTACCAGCTCATTTACTCCCCACAGCAACTGTGTCACTGAGGGAACCAAGGCACGGAGAGGCCAACAGGTCTGCCCAGGATCACACAGCAATGGAGTGGTTGAGATGGGAATGGCGCCCAGGCCCCCAGCCCTACTGTGGAGCATGGCCTCAGCCCCTGTCTGCTGTCTGTGGCTGGCTCACCTGGTCCCCATGTCCTGTTCCTCCCCAGAGTCGTTCCCTGCCCCCTACCCCTCCTCAGGCCCCAAGGCCTGGTTGAAGGGCCACACTCTTAGCTGATAGTGGCAGAATGAGTAAGGGATGGGTGAGCAGGAGGAAGCCCCTTCCCTGCTCAGGCCTGGTAATTACCTGTTAACCAGCCCTGTTATCACCCCTTCCCTTCTACCCTGGGGGTACCCTGGGCCAGAATCAAGCGGTGATTGATTGGTTGTTGATATCCTGGAATGTTGACTGCCCTGACACTCCGGCCTGGGAATCCTGGGGGTAGATGGGTCCAAGCCGCCCACCAGTTGTCCCTGCCGGGCCTCATTGCTCTCTGCCTGGCCCGCAGCGAGCTGGATTACTACGACTCCCACAATGTCAACACCCGGTGCCAGAAGATCTGCGACCAGTGGGACGCCCTCGGCTCTCTGACCCACAGTCGCAGGGAAGCCCTGGAGGTGAGGAGGGGGTGACATCACCCATGGAGCTCTGTGCCCCTGCTGCCCTGGGGCTGGTGGTGTAGTAGTGTCCAGACCCGTGAGCTCCCCGCGACTCCCACAGAGAGGATGTTCTCTGACTCCTCAGGGCCCTCCAGGCCCCTCCCCGCCCTCCTGCTCACATATTGACTTGCCTTCCCTCTGTTCCTGCCCCCTTCCCTCCCATACACCAGAAAACAGAGAAGCAGCTGGAGGCCATCGACCAGCTGCACCTGGAGTACGCCAAGCGCGCGGCCCCCTTCAACAACTGGATGGAGAGCGCCATGGAGGACCTCCAGGACATGTTCATCGTCCACACCATCGAGGAGATTGAGGTCCGCGCCCCCCAGCCCCCCATCTTCCCAAGAGCCTCTGCGGGGCTGGGCCGCCCCCTCACTCCAGCTCCTCCCCCAGGGCCTGATCTCAGCCCATGACCAGTTCAAGTCCACCTTGCCGGACGCCGACAGGGAGCGCGAGGCCATCCTGGCCATCCACAAGGAGGCCCAGAGGATCGCTGAGAGCAACCACATCAAGCTGTCGGGCAGCAACCCCTACACCACTGTCACCCCGCAGATCATCAACTCCAAGTGGGAGAAGGTGGGCCGGGGCCGTCGGAGGGGCTGGGGGCAGGACGGCGGGACTGGGGGCCACCTTCCTGACCTCTCCTGCGCCCCGTCCCCTCTGCCAGGTGCAGCAGCTGGTGCCAAAACGGGACCACGCCCTCCTGGAGGAGCAGAGCAAGCAGCAGTCCAACGAGCACCTGCGCCGCCAGTTTGCCAGCCAGGCCAACGTCGTGGGGCCCTGGATCCAGACCAAGATGGAGGTGAGGCGCGACTGAGCCCCGCAGAGCTGAGAAGGTTCCAAGGGAGCTCCCGCAGTGAGGGGCTCCCCGGCCAGCCCAGGGCCTGCAGACTGAGGCACCTCGCAGAGCAGGTCCCAACTGTCACCACCCAGGGGCCATGATCACCCTGCGGGGTTAGGAGAGTCCACAGAGCTTGAGCCTGGAATCCTAGCACCTGGGGAGGCTGAGGCAGGCGGATTGCTTGAGCCCAGGCGTTCGAGACCAGCCTGGGCAACATAGTGAGACCCCCAACTCTACAAAAAATACCAAAATTAGCTGGGCGTGGTGGTGCACAGCCCAAGAAGGTCAAGGCTGCTGTGAGCTATGATCATGCCACTGCACTTCAGCCTGACAGTGAGACCCTGTCTCAAAAACGAAAGTGGCAGTGCCCTCCAGAGAGGAACTTGGCTAAGGAGTCGACTGGAGGTGGGTTTGATCCCCGAATGCCCTGGCCTGATGATTGTGAGACTCAGGCACTATTGAACCTCTGCTCCTGTCCTCCTAGCTCTAAAATGGGGATGAAAACAGTTACTTTATTCTTTCAACAAATGCTTTTTGCACCGACCAACCAGCCACATGAGTGCTGTCATTCTGATAGCAGCTCTGGCCACCACTCACTGAGTACTCACGGCGTGCTAGGCAACCAGGCTGGCAGCAGGTGACCTCATTTAAACCCAGCAAGTCTGAGAGGGGGTCTGGGTGCCAGGCAGGCCAGCCCTGAGGTTCATGCCATCCACGCAGCATGTGGACTTGTGGGTGCCGAGAAATGGAGTGTCCGAGGTCAGGAGCTGCGGCCAGGCCAGGGTTCAGATCCCAACTCTGCCTCTAACTGCACTGAGCTGTCCTCTGTGAGCCTCGGTTTCTACCTCTGCAGTCAAGGCTTGCCACAGCCCTGGCCTCACAAAGAGGTCAAGGGTAAAATGAAGTTGGGCACGGGGAGTGCTTGGCAGAGAAAGCCTCCCTGTCATAGTCATAGCTGCTTTAACACGAGAGGGCAGGACCGGAGGGGACAGTTGTGAGCAGTGGGCCTTCCTTCCCAGGGACCCACAGGCCAAAGCCCCAGGCCAGAGGGGCCCCAGGGGAGATGCAGGCCAACAGCGCGAGTGGGCTTCTCCAGGTGGTCAGTGGTGGCAGGCCCACCAGCCTCACCCCACTGCCTGCACCCCCATAGGAGATCGGGCGCATCTCCATTGAGATGAACGGGACCCTGGAGGACCAGCTGAGCCACCTGAAGCAGTATGAACGCAGCATCGTGGACTACAAGCCCAACCTGGACCTGCTGGAGCAGCAGCACCAGCTCATCCAGGAGGCCCTCATCTTCGACAACAAGCACACCAACTACACCATGGAGGTACGCGGCCACCCCGCCTGCTGGCCCTTCCACCAGCATGGCCGGCTTCCTCACTGGAAATGGCTCGGGCCAGTGAGAAGATAGCTGTCTGCTGTCTGTTGTTTTTCACTCTGTTTAAAAATTATTGAAGAGACCAGCACTTTGGGAGGCCAAGGTGGGAGGATGGCCTAAGCCCAGGAGTTTAAGACCAGCCTGGGCAACATAGCAAGACCCTGTCTCTACAAAAAATGAAACTATTAGATGGTGGTACATGCCTATAGTCCCAGCTCCCCAGGAGGTTGAGGTGGGCAGATTGCTTGAGCCAGGGAGGCAGAGGTTGAGGTGAGCCGAGGTCGTACCAACACACTTCAGTCTGGGTGACAGAGCCAGACTCTGTCTCAAAAAATGAAAAAAGATTCAAAAGACTAAATCAAAATGTTCAGACATTTCTTAAAAATTACACTTTCCCTAACACTGCTCTCATCACCATGACAATGCCCCTCACAGGACAAGCTGGTCCAGGAGCCCACAGAGGGCACCGTTTGCCCTGTGGCCTCAGCAGTATCAGCCTTGCTCAGGGTCAGAGCCTGCCACTGGCTAACACGCCAGGAACGTTGCAAGCTGGTCACTGTCATATTGGTAGCTTGAGAAGCCAAAAGATTGGACACTCTTGATTCATCCCATACAGGTCCACAGATGCCTCAAACCAGAGTTGGCTTATTTTTTTCCCCTGAGAGCCAGTGGTGAGACATTGACCAGACTGTCCAAACAGTCTCCACAGGGATCCCAGCACAAGAGTCACGGGTGCTTGCCCTTCTGCTGCCCCTGTAGCTGGGAAACACACTTACTGTGGAGACATAAGCCTCGTGGCAGAGGCAGCAGGGAGGCACCACGGCCCATGTCCTCCGGGAGGTGTACAGGAGAGCAAGGGCTTTCCCCAGGGCAGGCTCCCGAGGACATCCCACCACAGTGAGGACAGTTCACAGCGCCCAGCCCACAGTCACACCCCTGTCTTCCCGCAGCACATTCGCGTGGGCTGGGAGCAGCTGCTCACCACCATTGCCCGCACCATCAACGAGGTGGAGAACCAGATCCTCACCCGCGACGCCAAGGGCATCAGCCAGGAGCAGATGCAGGAGTTCCGGGCGTCCTTCAACCACTTCGACAAGGTGAGCAGCCTGCCGCTGCCTCGGCCTCTCCCTTCCCGCCGTTGCCGTCCCAGCCCGCCCCCTCGTCTCTGCATCTGTCCGTCCTTTCCCATCACAGTTGCTGAGCGTCGGTCGCCACTCTCAGGGCCAGCAGGGCCCTGCCACTGTCAGGGTGTGGCCGTGTGGCACCGAGACCCCAGCCCGGGCCACTTCACACACACAGGCAGGGGGCCAGATGTCCCAAGTCCTGCCCTCTGGGGTGGCATCCTCACCACCCCTGGGGAAGATGAAGTCTCAGCACACCCAGGCTTTGCAACCTGGTCGGTGAACCTGGACACAGACACCCTGCACGGTGCTTTTAGAATTCAGATTTGGTCCGGCAGCCTCATCAGAGGGGCCCTGAGCGCCAGTTTGCTGCCATCCCCAGCCCACCCTGCCAGGCTGACAGACTGAGGAGTGTGCAGCCTCAGCTCTGCACCTGGTGTCCCCAGGATGGGGTGCAGTCCCTTCTGTCTCACTCCAAATCCCAAAGGCAGGGAGGGCCCCTCTACCTCCTATCCTCCTGGAGGACAGCCCCTCCAGTCCTGGGACTTGTCCTCAATTCTGTAGCATCCAGCTGCCACCCCTGCTGTGGGCAGAGAGGTATGAGAGGCCTCTGCCTGCCTTTGAGCTTCCAAGGTTGGGGGCAGGATGAAAGGGGCCCGCGCCGCCCCCTGCCCCATGTGTCCCTGGCCATCTCCTTGTCCATGTCACCTCTAACTCTGTGTTTCCCTTCCCTACGTGTCCCTTCCCCCTGCCCTCTGCATGTGACCCCGATCCCTCATCCTGGTTTCCACGCCCGCCGCCCCTCCCGCACACCTGCCTTCGGATGGGCCCGGCAGGACCATGGCGGGGCGCTGGGGCCCGAGGAGTTCAAGGCCTGCCTCATCAGCCTGGGCTACGACGTGGAGAACGACCGGCAGGTACCGCACCCTGGGCCCCAGTGGACCGTGGCATTAACTGCTTTCTCTCTCTCTCTCCTTCTCTCTTTCTCCCCTTGCCATCCCACCCCTGCCATCCTGTGTGCCATCTCACGGCTCTCTTGCCTCCCTGCCCGCATCTCCCTGGACACCTTCCCTCTTACCTGGTCTCTTGGGGCCGCTGTCTCCCTGCTCCCCGCCACTGTCCTGTCTGCCCGCTGTGCACATGGGGCGGTCCCTCTTGCCTACTCTGGGCCCGGCCTCCTCTGCTATGCCTGCGTCCTCGGAGCAGAAGCAGACAGGCAGCATGGACTCCGATGACTTCAGGGCTCTGCTTATCTCCACAGGATACAGCCTGGTATGCAGCTCTGTCTCCCCAGCCGCCCGCTCCTCCTCCTCCTCCCCTACCTCTCCCCCTCACCGCCTCCAGAGCTTCCTCGTCCTCGGGGACACTCCTCCGCCCGAGCAGCGCAGCCGTGCCTGCCTCTTCCTCTGCTGCACCTGCCGGGGTGGGGTCCCTCCGATGACTTCCCAGCCCCCCTTCTTCCCTAGAAGTCTCCAGAGAGAGGGGGCAGCTCTCCCACTCTCTCTCCCTGTTTTCTTTCTCTTTCTCTTTCTCTCTTTCTTCCCCACCCTCCAGAGCTAACTCGTGAGCCTGGGCTGAGGGCAGTAGACCCCAGTTCCCTGCTGTCGGAGACCACAGGAGGGGAGGGTGCAGAGAGGCCCTGCTCCCCAGCCTGGGGCACTGGGGGCTTGGGGCTCTGGGGCAGCCGGAGCAGTGGCAGGCTCTGCTTGGGGCCAAAGCCAGTGGAGCAGGTGGGGAACAGGGTGGACGCACATGCGGGTTGGGCCCTGCTCTCAGCTGTTTCCCTGGAGACCCCACCAGTGTGGGCCTGGCTGCCCCTACCCCACTCAATGTTGCGTGTCCCCCACCCCGCCCCCTCCTTGTAGGGTGAGGCCGAGTTCAACCGCATCATGAGCCTGGTTGACCCCAACCACAGCGGCCTTGTGACCTTCCAAGCCTTCATCGACTTCATGTCTCGGGAGACCACCGACACCGACACGGCCGACCAGGTCATCGCCTCCTTCAAGGTCCTGGCAGGGGACAAGGTGAGCGAGACCCCTACGAGGCTCATGGGGGCTGACGAGAGGGTTCCCTGCAGTGGGAGGGGCTGAGGGGGCAGCGTGTGGGTGGGGATGGCTCAGAGTCCCACCCTGCTGGCCCCAGAACTTCATCACAGCTGAGGAGCTGCGGAGAGAGCTGCCCCCCGACCAGGCTGAGTACTGCATTGCCCGCATGGCACCGTACCAGGGCCCCGACGCTGTGCCCGGCGCCCTCGACTACAAGTCCTTCTCCACAGCCCTGTATGGCGAGAGCGACCTGTGAGGCCCCGGAGACACCCGGACCCAACACCCGCCACGGCCTCCGGGAGGGGCCGGGGCAGCCCCACAGTCCCTTCCTCCACTCTGCATCTATGCAAAGCTCTCCGCAGGCCTCCGGGTGGGTGGGCGGGCAGGGAGGGGCTGGGGCAGGCTCTCTCCTCTCTCTCTCTGGGCTGGCCAGGAGGTTCCCCCGACCAGGTTGGGACTGGGGAGACTTGGGGCCAGTGCTGCTGGTCTGGTAAATATGTATGATGTGTTTTTTTAACCATCATGGAGGGGCCAGTGGATTCCCACAGCAAAACCAGTCCCTTCCATGCCCTGGGGATGCCCCACCACACCCAGGTCTCTTCCTTTTGCCCTGAGGTCCCTTCAAGGCCTCCCCCATCCAGGCCAAAGCCCCATGTGCCTTGTGCAGGAACCTCCTGGGCCCTGCGAGGGGCCAGCAGAGGGCGCCACTGCCACCCGACGGCTGGGGACCCACCCAGCCCCTCTCCCCTCCCTGCTCCAGACTCACTTGCCATTGCCAGGAGATGGGGGCCCCAACCAGCACCCCACTTTCACAGCAGAGGAGCTGAGTTGGCAGACCGGGCCCCCCTGAACCCCACCCCATCCCACTAGCTCCGGCCTTGCTTTGGCCTCACGTGTCTCAGATTTTCTAAGGACCAAAAAAAAAAGAAAAAACACAAAACAACAAAAAACAAAAAAAAAAAAAAAAAAAAAAATCACAAAAAAACTATAAAAAAGAATTAAAAACTTTCAGAGGATTACTATTTACTTTATTAACTTACGGATTTATTATATAAATATATATTCACCTAGCAACATATCTCTGCCGTCTCTCCTGCTCTTGTCATGAAGACATAGCCGATTCTCTTCCGGGCCCCTCGCTGATGCTCCTCCGGCTCTGCGTTGGGCGGGGGTCTCAGGGGACCCTCCAGAGGTGGAGGTGGGCTGCTGGCCTGGCTGCCTGGTGGTTGATGGTTTTGCTACCCCTACCCTTTTTTTTTTTTTATTTTTTTGAGTTTATTCTGATTGATTTTCTCTCGGTTTCTGGATAAACCACCCTCTGGGGACAGGATAATAAAACATGTACTATTTTTAAGAAGGATTCCTGCAGTGTCATCTTTTTTCTCGTGTCTGTCCTCCACTCCTAGGAGAGCCAGGGCAGAGCTAGCCCTGTCCTAAGCTATCAACGTGGACTAGCTCGTGTCATCTACTCAAGAGGGGCTGTCACTGTCCTTGTTTCTGAGTGAGCAGCACACAGGCCAGAGTGGTCACCCGGCCGTGAGTGGTGGGGGCCAGAGATCAGCTCCAGGTGGGTGGATGCCAGAGAGAGCAGCGCCCGTGCCAGGCAGGGGCTAGGGAGGTGGTCTTGCGCAGCAACCCTGCCCCAAGCAGCAGGTGCGCCCGTCCTGAGATGCTAGGAGAAGGTGGCCGCCTCCATCCACTAAGCAAGAGAAGGAAGACAGTGGGCTTGAGGCAGGGAGCTCCCAGGATGGAGCCTGAGCCGCCCTGTCCCTCCCACCCGGCTCACCTGTCTGTGGGTCAGGCAGATGACCCCCTCACCCCCATCCAGGTGCTGGCTGCAGTGGCCTGTGCAGAGAGGAGCAGGGTGAGTGCCCACTAGTCACCGTACCCCTTCCCCCATCCCCCACCATGCCAGGGGTGGTACTCACAGAAGATGCAGGTGAGCTGGGCCACACAGGACACGAACCGCTCGAAGTCCACACGCAGACGGCTATCCCGGTAGCGGCTGGTGAGGGCCTGGGTCAGCTGGTTGTTCAGGTGGAAGCCTAGAAGGAGGCTGCTTCTGAGCCCAGCGGCCCACAGGGAACCCACCTCAGCATTGCATCCCCACCCCACCTCCTTGCGGAGGATGTGGATGCCACAGGGTGTCACACCCCAACTCTGCCCCATCCCAGCAGGGCAAGCACAGGCTGGGCCCTTCAATTATCTGGGCCTGTTTCCTCATCCACCAAACGGGGACTGAGACAGCCCGGACCCCATAGGGTGTGTGAAGACAAGAGCGCTCGGACGGCGTCTGGCACGTGACTGGACGTGTGGGTACTGTTACTCCTTAAATCCTGTGGGGCTCTCTCCTTGCCAGTGGGCACTGGAGGATATTTCTGTGCTGCAAAAAATATCGTCAATCCCCTATGGAGTCGGTTTCTTTACGGTCCACCTCAGAGGCGATTTCTAAAGCTGAGAAACTGTGTCTGCTGTGGCGTCTCACTGGAAGCTTTCCAAAACCCAAAACAATGGGTTCTTGACCCCTTCTGAGATACAAGGTCGTGCCTCACGACCTTCTCCTTTGTTTCCCACGTGGCCAAACCCAGTTCCAAGGACCATTTCGTGGGCTTCTGCTGCTTCCAAAGCCCATCTTCACCCCCATTCTGTGTGTTCATTCTCTTCACAAATATCTACCAAGTAAGCGCCACTCCATGCTGTGCCCACTGCTGTTCAGCAGGAAGCAGGAGGTCAGGTGACCTGCCCCAGGTCACTCTCCCTCTGGCCTTCATCTGCCCTCGGGCATAGGGGTGGAGGCTGCTGTGCCCAGGGCTGAGAAAACCCAGCCAGATGGGGTGGAAGGACCCAAGAAGGGGCTGGAGCCCCTCAGCTGCCTGCAGGAGTTGCCGTTTGAGAATTTCTCAAGGTACTTTATCACAGTTTCCTTCTTACTGGAATAACTCTGGGCATGTAACAGGCACTCGGTGGTGCCAGATGCGTGAGCACGGCCTGCCACCTGCTGTGAGTCCTTGCTCCCTCACCTCCGTTCCTATCTCGGGCCCAGCCTCTCCCTCTCTGCCCGACGTCTCCCAATCCTTGGCTGTCTCTGACCCCATCTCTCCCCCTTTTGACTTGGGCTTTTTTTTTTTTTTTTTTTAAACAGAGTCTTGCTCTGTTGCCCAGGCTAGAGTACAATGGCATGATCTCGGCTTATGGCAACCTCTGCCTCCTGGGTTCAAGCGATTCTCCTGTCTCAGCCTCCCAAGTAGCTGGGATTACAGGCACGCACCACCACACCCGGCTAATTTTGTATTTTTAGTAGAGACTGGTGTGGTGGCAGACAGGCCTGGGAGTGGGGTTGGGGATCTGGGAACTCCAAGTTCTGACCCCAGCCCACTCTCCAAATCCCCTCCACATGAGGGTGACAGTCCTGCACTGTCGCATCTGCCTTGGAGCCCATGGAAAGCCTTTCTCTCTGACTTCGTTTCTTGGTTAGGATGTTGTGCTGGGCATGTTCCAGCTCATCAGGAGGAACTCAGCCTCATAGCAGAGGCCATTGGCTGGCTCTCTTTGGGGTGCTCCGGCTTTCTGTAATGAAAGCTGCATTCTCTGATCATTAAGTACTATGCCCCGCAGTCCATGGGTGACTCACCACCCTGGGTACTGGCTTTTTTTTTTTTTTTTTTTTGAGAGTCAGGGTCTTGCTCTGTTGCCCAGGCACAATCAGGGCTCACGGCAGCCTCAGCCTCCCGGGCTCAAGCCATCCTCAAGCCTCAGCCTCCTGAGTAACTGGGACCATAGGTGTGAGCCACCACACCAGGCCCTGGCCATTTCAGAGAGGAAAACAGAGGCTCGAAGAGATGGAGTCAAGTGCCCAGAGCCCCTCCTGGAGTCAGTAGAGTGAGGATTCCAACCTCGTGGCACCAGAATCCAGAACATTCTACCATGCTGCCCTGGGGGCCAGAGCCTCTCAGACACCAGCTCCTAATCTTCCCCTTCCTGGAGGAGCCTCTCTCTCCCCCAGCCCCCTACCAGGCACATCCCCCTTTCATGTCCTCCCCACCCCACAAACACCCCTTGCCCTCCTTCCTTATTTGGCCTCTTTCAGGGTCGCCCAACCCCTGGCAAGGACTGGCAACAAGCTAAGGTGTGGGCTTGTGGATGGCCACGGTGCAGATGGCCACAGCTGAGCGGGGGGACTTGGAGACGATGGGGTGGGAGAGAACAGGTCCTGTCCCCACAACCACCACAGGGCCCTGTCCACACCTGCCGCATTCAGCGCCAGCCTCAGCTCGAAGGAGTTCATGGTTCCAGAGGCATCCTCATCGAACTTGTGGAATATGGCCTAGGCAGGAGGGATGAGTCAGGGCTACCCCCCAGGCCTTGAAGAAGGCTGCAAATGGGGCCCGCCAGGCAAGACAGCCTGGTGCCCATCCCAACTCCTTTTTTTTTTTTTTTTTTTTTTTGAGACGGAGTCTCGCTCTGTCGCCCAGGCTGGAGTGCAGTGGCCGGATCTCAGCTCACTGCAAGCTCCGCCTCCTGGGTTTACACCATTCTCCTGCCTCAGCCTCCCGAGTAGCTGAGACTATAGGCGCCCGCCACCACGCCCGGCTAGTTTTTTGGTTTTTTTTTAGTAGAGACGGGGTTTCACCGTGTTAGTCAGGATGGTCTCAATCTCCTGACCTCGTGATCCGCCCATCTTGGCCTCCCAAAGTGTTGGGATTACAGGCTTGAGCCACCGCGCCCAGCCTCCCAACTCCCTTTCTTCTGGTGTGGACCCCCAGAAAGCAGCCTAACCACTTTGGACTTCTGTTTCCCAATCTGTAAAAGGGGAGTAAGAGCAATGTCCCCAGAGGACAAGCTGAGGCTGGGCGGGGGCAGGGATAGCCCAGCCAGTCCCTCCAAGTCAGCATAGTCCAGCCCCCCTCATTCCCTGGGGGCTCTGATAGCCCACAGGGTGCCAATGTCTCTGTTAGTAAAGGTTTCTGTCTTTCTGGGAAGAGGCCCAGTCTCCCACCTCACCTGCCACTCCAGGAGGTGGCCCCAGAGCCGCTGGAAGTGGTGTAAGGCCAGGCTTTGCCCATGCTGTGTTGGGGGTGGGGGCATCTGGTTAAGGTCAATCTCTCCAGAAGGGGAGGAGAGACCCCAGCGTCCCCTTCCCCACTCCCTCCCTCACCCAGGCACTTCCCCCCATGTACCCCGAAACACTGCAGCAGCTGCTCACAGGTCCTGAGCCCGATCTCTCCCGGGGTGTGGACGCTGGCTACAGGAAAAGCAAAATCAAACCACAGCACTTTCCTGCATTCTGGCCACCACTCTGAGGTCCATGTGGACGCGACTCTCTCAAGCAGGCGATGTTGTCGGTCCCATGTTATAGAAGCCGAGGCACAGGGAGCCACTGACTGCTGTGACTAGCAGAGCTGGGATTCAAATCCAGGCAGGGGTGCCCAGTCTGTGCTCAAGGCAGCCTTGCCTCTCAGCAGAAGGGGAGCTTGCGAGCAGCTGTGGCCCAGATCACCGGCCCACACAGGATCCCTTGCAGGGAGATGCCGCCAGGCTGAGCCTTGGCTTCCTGAGCCCAACTTCCAGCAGCACCGTGGGTTCACAGACATAGGGTGGCACCGGCTCTGGTTGCAGGACCCCTAGCTAAGACCCCTCCTCCTGCCCCCATCCCAGCCAACTCACCAGGCTCCAGGGCAATGCTTAGTAAGGCCTGCAGCTGAGAGGCATTGAGTTCTTCCTCCTAATCCAGGAAAGAGGGCTGGTGAGGCCATTGACTCATCCAGCTGCTCTGGGCCAGGCCCTGTGCTTGGCTGGGCTAGGGACACGGCAGGGGCTGACAGAGCCTCAGAGCTAGCCCCAGGAGTGGGGGGAGACAGGCCTGTCCCCACAGGGCCATGGCTGTGATGGGGGAAGCACTGGGCTGTGGGAGCTGGTGGGGGCAGCAGACCCGCCTGGGGGAGGGTCAGGGAGAGCTTCCATGGCGGGACACCTTAGATGGGGCCTGAGCCTGGCCGCAGGTGTCAGGACGGAGGGTGGTCCTGGGAGAGGGTGGTCAGTATGGACTGAGCCCAAGGCCCTGAGGCAGGAAGGAGCTGTGAGCATTTCAAGAAAAGGTCATGAGATTTAAGCCCAGAGGGAGGAAAAAGTAAGCAAAATGAGACACCCGAGATGCTAGGGCGGGGGAAGGGGGATCCCCAAAGGGAAGCTACAGCGGGATGCTCCCTCAGCCCAATCCCCCTCCTCACCTCTCCAGCCAGCTCCTTAAACAGCTGCTCCAAATCCAGCTCCAGGGGCAGGTAGGGGCCCTGCGGCACGGGGAAGTTTAGTTCAGGCCAAGATCCCCGCCCCATCGTGCCCCTCCCGGAACAGCCCCCACCT